AGTGGGACTATCATTTGATTTCAACAGGACAATGACCCAACACACCTCCAGGCTGTGTAAGAGCTATTTGACCAAGAAGGAGAGTGATGGAGTGCTGCATCAGATGACCTGGCCTCCACAATCACCCGACCTCAACCCAATTGAGATGGTTTGGGATGAGTTGGACCGCAGAGTGAAGGAAAAGCAGCCAACAAGTGCTCAGCATATGTGGGAACTCCTTCAAGACTGTTGGAAAAGCATTCCAGGTGAAGCTGGTTGAGAGAATGCCAAGAGTGTGCAAAGCTGTCATCAAGGCAAAGGGTAGCTACTTTGAAGAATCTAAAATATACAATATATTTTGATTTGTTTAACACTTTTTTGGTTACTACATGATTCCATATGTGTTATTTCATAGTTTTGATGTCTTCACTATTATTCTACAATGTAGAAAATAGTAAAAATAAAGAAAAACCCTTGAATGAGTAGGTGTGTCCAAACTTTTGACTGGTGGTGTATGTCCACCCCACGTCTAAAACCAAAAATGCGCCCCTGTTTTTCAATGAGTTTTCCTATAGATCTTTCAGATTTTCACTCTCAAAATCACCTTATTTTATAGAAGAAATACAAAAATGTGATGGTCTAAGTATACAACAATACTTAAACCACATCAATCTGATTTGGTGGGTCTGTCAGGATCTGGCTCCCCAATGGGTCGTGGATGGGTATTCAAATTATATTTGTCACATACATGTGTTTAGCAGATGTTATTGTGGGTGTAGCGAAGGTGACAACAGTTGGTGCGATTATTCGCAAATAGAACACAAAATAACTGTCAATCTCCCTCGGCCTGGGGCTCCATGCAAGATCTCACCTCGTGGAGTTGCAATGATCATGAGAACGGTGAGGAATCAGCCCAGAACTACACGGGAGGATCTTGTCAATGATCTCAAGGCAGCTGGGACCAAAGTCACCAAGAAAACAATTGGTAACACACTACGCCGTGAAGGACTGAAATCCTGCAGCGCCAGCAAGGTCCCCCTGCTCAAGAAAGCACATACAAAGGGCCGTCTGAAGTTGCCAATGAACATCTGAATGATTCAGAGGAGAACTGGGTGAAATTGTTGTGGTCAGATGAGACCAAAATTGAGCTCTTTGGCATCAACTCAACTCGCTGTGTTTGGAGGAGGAGGAATGCTGCCTATGACCCCAAGAACACCATCCCCACCGTCAAACATGGAGGTGGAAACATTATGCTTTTGGGGTGTTTTTCTGCTAAGGGGACAGGACAACTTCACCGCATCAAAGGGACGATGGACGGGACCATGTACCGTCAAATCTTGGGTGAGAACCTCCTTCCCTCAGCCAGGGCATTGAAAATGGGTCGTGGATGGGTATTCCAGCATTACAATGACCCAAAACAAACGGCCAAGGCAACAAAGGAGTGGCTCAAGAAGAAGCACATTAAGGTCCTGGAGTGGCCTAGCCAGTCTCCAGACCTTAATCCCATAGAGAATCTGTGGAGGGAGCTGAAGGTTGGAGTTGCCAAACGTCAGCCTCGAAACCTTAATGACTTGGAGAAGATCTGCAAAGAGGTGTGGAACAAAATCCCTCCTGAGATGTGTGCAAACCTGGTGGCCAACTACAAGAAACGTCTGACCTCTGTGATTGCCAACAAGGGTTTTGCCACCAAGTACTAAGTCATGTTTTGCAGAGGGGTAAAATACTTATTTCCCTCATTAAAATGCAAATCAATTTATAACATTTTTGACATGCGGTTTTCTGGAATTATTTGTTGTTATTCTGTCTCTCACTGTTCAGATAAACCTACCATTAAAATTATAGACTGATCATTTCTTTGTCAGTGGGCAAACGTACAAAATCAGCAGGGGATCAAATACTTTTTTCCCTCACTGTATGGACAAGCAATGACAGAGTGGCATGGACTAAGATACAGTAGAATATTATAGAATACAGTATATACATATGAGATGAGTAGTGCAAGATATGTAAACATTATTAAAGTGACTAGTGTTCCATTTCTTAAGGTGGCCAGTGATTTCAATAGGCAGCAGCAGCCTCTAATGTGCTAGTGATGGCTATTTAACAGTCTGATGGCCTTGAGATAGAAGCTGTTTTTCATTCTCTCGGTCCCACCTTTGATACTTAAGTAGGTTTTTGTGGTATCTGTACTTTACTATTTATATTTTTGACTACTTTTACTTTTACTTCACTGCATTCCTAAAGAAAATGATGTACTTTTTACTCCATACATTTTCCCTGACACCCAAAAGTACAAGTTACATTTTGAATGTTTAGCAGGACAGGAAAATGGTCTAATTCACACACTTATCAAGAGACATCCTTGGTCATCCCTACTGCCTCTGATCTGGCGGACTCACTAAACACATGCTTCGCTTGTAAATGATGTCTGAGTGTTGGATTGAGCCCCTGGCTATCTGTAAAATAAAATAAAAACCTAGAGAATGTGTCCATCTGCTTTGCTTAATATAAGGAATTTGAAAGGATTTATACTGTGACTTTTACTTTTGATACTTAAGTATATTTTAGCAATTACATTTACTTTTGATACTTAAGTATATTTAAAACCAAATACTTTTACTCAAGTAGTATTTTATTGGGTGACTTTCACTTTTACTTGAGTCATTTTTTATTAAGGTATCTTTACTTTTACTCAAGTAGGACAATTGGGTACTTTTTCCACGGCTGGTTGTGTTTGAGACTGATTCAAGACCAAGACCGGAGCAAATCGAGTCCGAGTCAAGATGAAGACAGAAGACCGGCGATGTTGGCTATTAAACCTAAGGCCCCGTGTAGCTCAGTTGGCAGAGCATGGCGTTTGCAATGCCAGGGTTGTGGGTTCGATTCCCACGGGGGGCCAGTATGAGAAATGTATGCACTCACTAACTGTAGGTCACTCTGGATAAGAGCATCTGCTAAATGACTAAAAATGTAATGCGTAGAAACACGTCATCGGGTCTAACGGTCTCTCGCGCCGAACTGCGCATGTGCTGACCATCTAATCAAAGGCACTCCTTCAATATAAAGTTGTTTTTGACTAAAATGAAAACGTGTCAATTTTATGAGGTTGGAGTAATAACATGTTCAAGTACTTAAGACATTGGCTCGAATCTAAACTGAACAAAAATATAAATGTAACATGTAAAATGTTGGTCCCATGTTTCATGAGCTGAAATAAAAGATCCCAGAAATGTTTAATATTAACAGAAATCTTATTGTGTGCACAAATGTGTTTATACCCATTAGTGAGTGTTTCTCCTTTGCCCAGATAATCCATCCACCTGACAGGTGTGGCATATCAAGAAGCTGATTAAGCAGCATGATCGTTACATAGGTGCACCTTGTGCTGGGGACAATAAAAGGCCACTCTAAAATGTGCAGTTTTGTCACACAACACAATGCCACAGATGTTCCAAGTTTTGAGGGAATGTGCAATTGGCATGCTGACTGCAGGAATGTCCACCAGAACTGTTGACAGAGAATTTAATGTTAATTTCTCTACCATAAGCCGCCTGCAACATTGTTTTAGAGAATTTGGCAGTACGTCCAACCGGCCTTACAACCGCAGACCATATGTAACCACGCCAACCTAGGACCTCCATATCAGGATTCTTCACTTGCGGGATCGTCTGAGACCAGCCACTAGGACAGCTGATGAAACTGTGAGTTTGCACAACCGAATAATTTTTGCACAAACTGTCAGAAACCATCTCAGGGAAGGTCATCTGCGTACTCATCGTCCTCACCAGGGTCTTGACCTGACTGCAGTTCGGCGTCATAGCCGACTTCAGTGGGCAAATGCTCACCTTCAATGGCCACTGGCACACTGGAGAAGTGTGCTCTTCATGGATGAATCCAGGTTCCAACTGTACCAGGCAGATGGCAGACGGTGTGTATGGCGTTGTGTGGGCGAGCAGTTTGATGATGTCAACGTTGTGAACCGAGTGCCCCACATGGTGACGATGGAGTTATGGCATGGGCAGGCATAAACTACAGACAACGAACACAACTGCATTTTATCGATGGCAATTTGAATGCACAGAGATACTTTTGGTCATGTAGTGTATGTGGACACCTGCTCGTCGAACATCTCATTCCAAAATCATGGGCATTAATATGGAGTTGGTCCCACCTTTGCTGCTATAAGAGCCTCCACTCATCTGGGAATGCTTTCCACTAGATGTTGGAACATTGCTGCGGGGACCTGCTTCCATTCAGTCACAAGAGCATTAGTGAGGTCGGGCAGTGATGTTGGGCGATTAGGCCTGGCTCGCAGTTGGCATTCAAGTTCTTCCACACCAATCTCGACAAACCATTTCTAACTTGGTGCTCGCTTTGTGCACGGGGGCATTGTCATGCTGAAACAGGAAAGGACCTTCCCCAAACTGTTGCCACAAAGTTGGAAGTACAGAATCGTCTAGAATGTCATTAAGATTTCCCTTCACTGGAACTAAAGGGCCTAGCCGAACCATGAAAAACAGCCGCAGACCATTATTCCTCCTCCACCAAACTTTACAGTTGGCACTATGCATTGGGGCAGGTAGCGTTCTTCTGGCATCCGCCAAACCCAGATTCGTCCGTTGGACTGCCAGATGGTGAAGCTTGATTCATCACTCCAGATCTTAGGCTTGTGTGCGGCTGCTCAGCCATGGAAACCCATTTCATGAAGCTCCAGAGGAACAGTTATTGTGCTGACTTTGCACAGAACTTGTTCTGACAGCGCGAAAGCTGTGGCCATGTTCGAGAGAATCAAACCCCTAATGTATCATGGATTATGTGTGAATGACTCTGATCTACAAGTAATAATGAGTAGTTATTTATGATGGATGGTGGTTTGTAGATCAGTCAGTCGGCAGTCGCCTGCACTGTCGGCTGCAATGTCGAACAAACCCTGTATGTAAAAAGTATTCCAAAAAGGGCACTTTTTTTTCCCAAATGAAGGAAAGGGAGGAGTCTAGTATTTCTTTTGCCCTTCCTCTTTCGGAAAATTTTACCAATCATCGTTTTTTCAACTGGCCAATCACCACCATTTCACAAAGGAGGCGGGATCATTTCCAAGGATTCGTCCGCAGTGACCTCGGACACATCCTTCCTCCCCTTTAATTCGCAGTTTATTTTATTTGTGTATCTAAATTAGAAAATGGCGTTGCTAACACCTCTCCTCGCATTCCTCTATCACTTGCCGCAGGTGTACAAGTGGCTGCTAAAGCCATACTATGTCGCGTCTCTGTTCATGTCAATCGCGTTTCTCATGATCCGCAAGACGCCAGGTGTCTGCGAACATCTTTCGACAGAACGAGAGGATGGCAACCCCTGCGACTTTGACTGGGTCAGTATTGGATGGTGTAAAAAATGGGGATTGAGAAATGTTAGGAAGGATACACGTGATTAGGCCGGGACAAAGATTTTGGTTAGATTGCCAACGAGCTAGCTAGCTATCCAATGCTAAATGTGATGACAGAGTTGGGGGGTTTAGTTAGCTAGCTAGCTACATGAATGGCCATTGTGAAATTCGGTGGGAGCTGGCCTGGGTTCGATATTGAAGGATGCTATAGACTGTAACCCGAACAGAGATCGGAAGGTAACGGGCAGGTGATGAGACAGAACCGTGCAAAGGGTGGGTGTACTGGGGAGTTAGCAGGTGCGTGCCCCCTCTCATACAAGGCTACAAGGGCCTTGTTTTTTCTTGGGCTGAAAGTGCCATTGCCACCATGAGTGCATGCACCAAAACCACCCAAATAAGTACAGGATGACACTGGCAATACTGGAGTTAGTTGCAGGCCTGCCCCGACCCTGTAATATCTTGTTTCGCCTACTAGGTAGTACTGGAGGCAGAAGATGAAATGTTTATAGACTGAAATGCCTTGACCTGTATGTTTATCCTATTCTGTTCTCATGTTCCACAGAGAGAAGTGGAGATTCTTATGTTCCTCAGTGCGATCGTCATGATGAAAAACAGAAGAGCTAGTAAGTGTCAGCCCTGAACCAGAACCCTGTTATCATCAGAGATCTAGCAACCATACACATACTTTTATGACCCATTCTCATCTGTTTACTTACTTACACAAAGACCGACAGAGTCCGACACACAGAGGCGCACACATAGACGTACAGTTTGATATACCAAATCCTTGACCAATACACCAGCTCACTACCACATCACTAATTCCCTCATGTAAATATTTCATACAGAGCTAAAGTCAAAGGTTAATCATTAGCAGAGTTGTACCCACCTGTGTTTAGACATTAGAAAACTGACCATCCCCCCTCAGTTGGTCATCACTAGTTACCACAGCCACATAGTGTTTAGAGTTTATTAGTCACATGCACAGGGTCACAGATGTAATTGCAGGGTACAGCTGACTAGTGGTGGCTATTCAGCAGCCTGATGGTCTGGGGATAGATGCTATTGACCAGTCGTCTGTTTTTGCCATGATGCTCCTGTACTGCCTACGTGATTGAAGCGGGGAGAACAGGCCGTGGCTGAGGTCATAAACCCCGCCTATTTCTACAATTGATATTCTTAAAATTGGATTTGAACCTTAACCACACTGCCAACCTTATGCCTATCCCTAACCTTAAATGAAGACCAAAAAGCAACAAAAAAATTGGGGATGAATGTTTATGATATAGCCAATTTTGAGGCTGCTCTATCTAGTGGAAACCCCTTCTGTTGGAGCTAGGGGTCTCCTTCAGCAGGCAGACATGTTTGTTTTACATGACATTCAACACATGGTTACCATTTCAGTAAAACAAGTACCCACACACATTGCTAGTGAAGTTTCACTTTTGTATCTACAAGGCTAACAATTCAGACCCTTAAACTTTGTCTGAGCAAATTGTTTTCTGTTTGTACTCATGTTAATGTTCTAGGTATTCAACCAATCTGCTATGGCAAATGTCTTGTCCACAAAGCCCTATTTGAATTAATAGTTCAGTGTTGTAAACGGACTGTTTTAATAGATCATTCATAGGAAGAAATGATAGGACTGTGTTGTCTATTGTGGTGTCATTGTGGTGTTTGTTATTGTAGCTCTGTTGGTCGTTGTCACTCCCTTCGTCTTTCATCTGCCTCCCTCCCTGCACCCCCCTCCCCCCTAAAGTGAATCCCGCACTTGTTAGGCCTCAACTACAAACTGTCCCTCTGTCTCAGGCTCAAATAGTTTCTACACGTTTCACTTTTTTCATAGTTCTTCATATCACTCCTTTACCCATGGTTTTACAAAACTGTTTGTTCCTGTCTTCTATTCGCATCTGTTCTTTCTCTCAATGTTATTGTTCTTTGTCAATGTTATCATCCTTGTTTTTCCTCCTACCCAGGTGCACTATTGTCTTCAACCTGCAAATTGTCCTTATTCTATGCAATACTTTCTCTTTTTAGATTCCCCCCCCCCATTGTTTACTTGATTTAACCCCTCTCCGTCTCTCCTTGTCTCAGTAACGGTGGAACAGCATGTGGGGAACATCATTCTGTTCAGTAAGGTGGCCAACGTTATCCTCTTCTTCAGACTGGACATCCGCATGGGCCTGCTCTATCTCACCCTCTGCATTGGTCAGTGCACACACATTCACACACACTTGCACTACACAATGTGTGCGTACATACACACTTTGTTTATACATACATACACACACATACAGTACCAGTCAAAAGTTTGGACACACCTACTCATTCAAGGGTTTTTCTTTATTTTTACTATTTTCTACATTGTAGAATAATAGTGAAGACATCAAAACTATGAAATAACACATATGGAATCATGCAGTAACCAAAAACAAATAAAAATATATTGTATATTTTAGATTCTTCAAAGTAGCTACCCTTTGCCTTTGACAGCTTTGCACACTCTTGGCATTCTCTCAACCAGCTTCACCTGGAATACTTTTCCAACAGTCTTGAAGGAGTTCCCACATATGCTGAGCACTTGTTGGCTGCTTTTCCTTCACTCTGCGGTCCAACTCATCCCAAACCATCTCAATTGGGTTGAGGTCGGGTGATTGTGGAGGCCAGGTCATCTGATGCAGCACTCCATCACTCTCCTTCTTGGTCAAATAGCTCTTACACAGCCTGGAGGTGTGTTGGGTCATTGTCCTGTTGAAAAACAAATGATAGTCCCACTAAGCGCAAGCCAGATGGGATGGCATGCCGCTGCAGAATGCTGTGGTAGCCATGCTGGTTAAGTGTGCCTTGAATTCTAAATAAATCACAGACAGTGTCACCATCACACCTCCTCCATGCTTCACGGTGGGAACCACACATGCGGAGATCATCCGTTCACCTACTCTGCGTCTCACAAAGACGGTTGGAACCAAAGATCCGAAATTTGGACTCATCAGACCAAAGGACAGATTTCCACCGGTCTAATGTCCATTGCTCGTGTTTCTTGGCCCAAGCAAGTCTCTTCTTCTTATTGGTGTCCTTTAGTAGTGGTTTCTTTGCAGCAATTTGACCATGAAGGCCTGATTCACACAGTCTCCTCTGAACAGTTGATGTTGAGACGTGTCTGTTACTTGAACTCTGAAGCATTTATTTGGGCTGCAATTTCTGAGGCTGGTAACCCTAATGAACTTATACTCTGCAGCAGTGGTAACTTTTCTGTGGCGGTCCTCATGAGAGCCAGTTTCATCATAGCGCCTTGATGGTTTTTGCGTTTCTCTTTGCCTTTTTGAGCTGTTCTTGACATAAAATGGACTTGGTCTTTTACCAAATAGGGCTGTCTTCTGTATACCCCCTTACCTTGTCACAACACAACTTATTGGCTCAAATGCATTAAGAAGGAAAGAAATTCCACAAATTAACTTTTAACAAGGCACACCTGTTAATTGAAATGCATTCCAGGTGACTACCTCATGAAGCTGTCATCAAGGCAAAAGGGTGGCCATTTGAAGAATTTCAAATATAAAATATATTTTGATTTAACACTTTTCTACATGATTCCATATGTGTTATTTCATAGTTTTGATGTCTTCACTATTATTCTACAATGTAGAAAATAGTAAAAATAAAGAAAAACCCTGGAATGAGTCGGTGTCAACATACATATACTTGGATACACACGTAGACACACACGCTCCTCTACTGTTGTGATAATTAATTATACCGGTAAACGCCTGGTTAGATGACATGACCTATAACCTGATGACCCCTCATTCTGCTCTCTGATTGGCTAATTACCCTTCATGCTGCTCACTGATTGGCTGATTGTGTATTCCAGTGTTCCTGATGACCTGTAAGCCTCCTCTCTACATGGGCCCAGAGTACATCAAGTACTTCAGTGACAAGACCATAGAAGTGAGTACCATAGATTACCTCTTAAGGCTCTACTGTAACATACAATATTACCATTGCCGTAGTAAGGGTAATGGTGTGTTATAGTGTGAAAATAAAACGGATGAGTGTATCAAAAATCATACTTTCACAGGATCGCAGAAGGTGACACCAATTAGGTTGTTGTTGACATTTCAGTTGAAAGTATGTTTGTCAGGTGATTTCAAAACCGACCCACCCATAGGATATTTTTATTGCTTGAAATGTGACGTTTAGTGAAATTGATGGCTGACTTGTGACCCGGTTGCAGGATGAGTTGGAGAGGGACAACAGGGTGATGTGGATCATAGAGTTCTTCGCTAACTGGTCCCCAGAGTGTCAGTCCTTTGCCGCCGTCTACGCAGACCTCTCCCTCAAGTAAGACAACGACTAATCTTCACTATACACGACAAAAGCCTTCATTTTAATGCATTGCACCATAAACCCTTAGCGTCAATATACAAATATACATCCTCTCCTGGATTGTCTCAAAACAGACCATCTCATATTGCCCTGTTTGTATCACCTGTCAGTTTGTGGTGCGACTAAAGTGGTAATGCTATTGCTGTGAGTTTCTTTGGGAAATGTATGTTTTCTCTCTCATGGTTACAGGTATAACTGTGCTGGGCTCAAGTTTGGGAAGGTGGACATCGGACGGTATGGAGATGTGTCAAAGAAGTAGGCCCCTTTCCTCCTTTCTCTCTCTCTGCAGATATATTCTATTTAAGTGAAGTAGATTTCTGATTGGATGTCTGTGATTTGAAACATTGAATTGCTTCCCGTCCTCCATCCATCTTCTCAAAGGTACAAGGTGAGTACCTCTCCCCTCTCCAAGCAGCTGCCCTCGCTGGTGCTGTTCCAGGGGGGCAAGGAGGTGATGAGACGCCCCCAGGTGGACAAGAAGTGTAGGGCCGTGTCCTGGAGCTTCACTGAGGTGAGAGGTGTGGCTTCAGAGCAGAACATAGACACACAGACATGCACACACACACCAGGGTTTCCGTTAGCTGATAATAGCTGGCTTTTAGCCACACAAAAAAAATGAAAAAAATCACTTGAATAGAAAAGCAGATGAATAACATTGGCACCAGCCAATTGTCTGGGAGAAGGAAACATCCCTTTGCGAAATAATGCTTTTTAGCCTACTCATTGATGGAAATACCAGCTGATGGAAATCTATTTGACTGGTCATACTTATCGGTCTATAGGTTAATTTGCATAATTTAGTGTACAGTATATTCGTTATGTATTTTATCACATGCGTATAGGATACAGAGCCTTTGAGCGGAAAATCTGTCAGACTGCACAAGAGCTCAGCAGCGTCTCAAACAGCAAATGCAAACAGAGGCAACGGAAGGCAGGCTTCATCAGCGCGTCACACCACTGCATTGCGCTGGAGGCAGTATGCATTTTGAAAATATACTTAATTGTTCGAAACCTGAACGCTTTAATACATATTGAGGCATGTATTGCCTTGCTTCAAAGTAGCCTAGCCAAAATCGGACCATATCTGTGGAGGCAATTATTTTATATAAACTTTCTTTCATTGACCAGTAGCCAAAGGCGAAATCCTAGTCGTATTAGCAACCCAATGCTAGTTGTTGCATATTAGATCTCCCCTCTTTCTACATTTCTAACCGATATTTTCGTCTCCGTCACATGAAACCGCTAACGTGCGGTGGCCTTTTGACAACAGTGTTTTCCTGCTAATTGCATTATGGAACGAAGACGTGTGTGTAGACTACTGCCTTGTGTGCATTGCTGCGCTTATAATGTGAAGAAATAATAGTTTATTATCATTTAAGCTAAACGTTCTGATCTGTTGCATCAGACTCATTGCTTTAACTTTTTTTTTTATGAAGCCTAGGCCTACTGGTTGTATGAATTTGGGATCTACCTTCCCACAACTGTCCCAGAGTCTGTTTGGAATAGGCTATTTCCCAGAGTCTGTTTGGAATAGGCTATTTCCCAGAGTCTGTTTGGAATAGGCTATTTCCCAGAGTCTGTTTGGAATAGGCTATTTCTTTTTCGACAAACTGACTAATAGAATAGGTCAACTTTTCTACAATGGGGTGCAGTAGATTGACATAGGCTAGTGATTTTGCTGTTCGTTACTCGTCTTGTTGGCTGAGGAAAATTAAATGTGGACAGTTATTCTAAAATCCTCAAAGTGCACATCAGAATTCTGTAAAAAAGGACCGCACATTGTAGCATCCTCGACTTGCATGTTCTGTTAATATGAATTACCATAATCTAAATGTGATTTGTCATTCTGAGCACAGTGTGTGAACGCCCTAATCCGGTTATGCACCCAATCCATATACAGTCGTGGTCAAAAGTGTTGAATGACACAAGTATTGGTCTTCACAAAGTTCGCTGCTTCAGTGTTATGAGATATTTTTGTCAGATGTTACTATGGTATACTGAAGTATAATTACAAGCATTCCATAAGTGTCAAAGGCTTTTATTGACAATTACATTAGGTTTATGCAGAGTCAATATTTGCAGTGTTGACCCTTCTTTTTCAAGACCTCTGCAATCCGCCCTGGCATGCTGTCAATTAACTTCTGGGCCACATCCTGACTAATGGCAGCCCATTCTTGCATAATCAATGCTTGGAGTTTGTCAGAATTTGTGGGTTTTTGTTTGTCCACCCGCCTCTTGAGGATCGACCACAAGTTCTCAATGGGATTAAGGTCTGGGGAGTTTCCTGGCCATGGACCCAAAATGTCGATGTTTTGTTCCCCGAGCCACTTAGTTATCACTTTTGCCTTATGGCAAGGTGCTCCATCATGCTGGAAAAGGCATTGGTCCTCCCCAAACTGTTCTTGGATGGTTGGGAGAAGTTGCTCTCAGAGGATGTGTTGGTACCATTCTTTATTCATGGCTGTGTTCTTAGGCAAGAATTGTGAGTGAGCCCACTCCCTTGGCTGAGAAGCAACCCCACACATGAATGGTCTCAGGATGCTTTACTGTTGGCATGACACAGGACTGATGGTAGCGCTCACCTTGTCTTCTCCGGATAAGGTGTTTTACGGATGCCCCAAACAATCGGAAAGGGGATTCATCAGAGAAAATGACTTTACCCCAGTCCTCAGCAGTCCAATCCCTGTACCTTTTGCAGAATATCAGTCTGTCCCTGATGTTTTTCCTGGAGAGAAGTGGCTTCTTTGCTGCCCTTCTTGACACCAGGCCATCCTCCAAAAGTCTTCCCCTCACTGTGCGTGCAGATGCACTCACACCTGCCTGCTGCCATTCCTGAGCAAGTTCTGCACTGGTGGTGCCCCGATCCCGCAGCTGAATCAACTTTAGGAGACAGTCTTGGCGCTTGCTGGACTTTCTTGGGCGCCCTGACGCCTTCTTCACAACAATTGAACCTCTCTCCTTGGAAGTTCTTGATGATCCGAAAAAAGCAATGATGACGGCACGTGTTTCCTTGCAGGTAACCATGGTTAACAGAGGAAGAACAATGATCTCAAGCACCACCCTCCTTTTAAAGCTTCCAGTCTGTTATTCTAACTCAATCAGCATGACAGAGTGATCTCCAGCCCTGTCCTCGTCAACACACTCACCTGTGTTAACGAGAGAATCACTGACATGATGGCAGCTGGTCCATTTGTGGCAGGGCTGAAATGCAGTGGAAATGTTTTTTTAGGGATTAAGTTCATTTTCATGGCAAAGAGGGACGTTGCAATTAATTGCAATTCATCTGATCACTCTTCATGACATTCTGGAGTATATGCAAATGGCCATCATCAAAACTGAGGCAGCAGACTTTGTGAAAATTTGTATTTGTGTCATTCTCCAAAACTTTTGACCACGACTGTACGTCCGGTCAATTTCTCAAATGTCCGGTAAATTAAAATGCTGCCAGTCAAACGTCCTGAAACCCTGACACACACGCATACAAACAGACACACACACACACACACTCTTTCTCGCTCTCTTTCTCTCACACACTCAATCTCACTCTCAACAGGAGAACATCATCCGGGAGTTCAACCTGAACGAGCTCTACCAGAAGTCCAAGAAACTCAACAAGTCCAAGGGAGACCGGAGCGACAAGATCAACGAATCACAGTTCCCGCCCGTGCTCGAAGAGGAGGAGCCAGAGGTCGACGCCCAGGAGGAGGAGACTGAGACCAAGAAGGACAAATAGAATTGTCATGGGTAGTGGCCTCAGAAGAACGCTGTGACATCACAATGGGACTAGGTGGTCTGATGCTGATGCTGATGCTGATGCTGATGCTGATGCTGATGCTGATGCTGATGCTGATGCTGGAGGGGTGTGATGTTCTATCGAGGGAACAAACACATGATTGTTATGAATCCTTTTTTGTTTTGCTGTATACTGTATGCAACAAGATTTGAGTTGCAAAATAATTTAATTATTGTTATGATTAATTCAATATTAACTAACTTAAATCTAAACTGTACAGTTAGATTTGTATGTCTCTCCATCGTACTTATGACAGTTTCCATCAATCTTTCCACCAGTTCCCTGGAGAACCTCTATGCTCATCAGCGGGTGCGTCCCAAATGTCATTCTATTACCTAATATAGTGCAATACTACAAAAGTAGTGCACTATATAGGGAAAAGGGTGTAATTTATGACTTAACTTTTAAGTGCATTTGATTTAGACTTCATCTTGGAACACTACAATGATACACTCCGTTCATAGTGTTTCACTTGATTTAGAATAGAGTGAATGTTATACTCTCAGTCCGGTCCATGCTTGGTGAGCCAAATTGCATGCACCTATTTAACTGAAGTTACATTGGCTTTGTCCGAAATGGCAACCGATTCCTTATATAGTGAGTGCACTAGTCAAAAGTAGTGAGATATGGTGCCATTTCAAATTAAATTTGATATGCCACATGCGCTGAATACAACAGGTGTAGACCTTACAGTGAAATGCTTACTTACAAGCCCTTAACCAACAATGCAGTTTTAAGAAAAATAAGTGTTAAGTAAAAAATTACAAATAATTAAAGAGCAGCAGTAAAATAACAGTAGGGAGGCTATATACAGGGGGTACCGGTACAGAGTCAATGTGTGGGGGCACAGGTTAGTTATTTCAGACGCAAACGTTGATTGACCCTATCTCCTAATATGGGGAGACTGAGCTGACAATGTTTCATATTGGACCAATGCCAGGCATTGGCTCGAAATGGCTCCTTTATTAGCCAATTGCTGTCAAAGGCTCTTCACTGCATGTCTACTCTATTGGTTAAGACATGGTCAAACACTTCAAGCCATCTACCTACCTCCAATTGGGTCCATGATGATAAGATCGGGTGTGTGTCTATGAACCACGGCCTCTGTCCTAAAAGGCTGTCTTTGAGAGGGAATTTCAAAATATATATTAGCTAGTTTTTTTTCTTCCATAAGTGGTTGTCTGTGAGTTCTGTTATTGTCACCTAATCATAGTTTTCAGTTAAAGATGACGCTGAAGGGAAAGATGAGGATGGAGAGAACAGAGCGTTTTGCTATTAACGCCAATTCCATTTTAGAACTAGACCAGTGTTTGTCCACAAAATAGCCATATCAGCGATGGAGTTGTGGAAGGTTGAGGTAGGTAGTGCTAGTCTCTATCCCTCACTCTTCTACCTGACAGAATAGGTAGAATTACTTTTTTACTTTAAAAAGCTCCCATTTCAGGGCTGGCTTCTGTCTAAACACTCACGTCTTAATTATTTTTTTTAACTCAGTTGTCATTTTGTAATTGTTGACAAAACACATTTTTACACCAGTGCAAAGAAAAGTGTAAATTGAGGTGAAGTAGCACTTCTTCTAGGCGATGTAACAGAACATACATTTTACTACCCGTTTGACATTCCCTTGGTTACTGTATAATCCTGCTGTCTGTCTCAACGTTCTGTTCAGATTGTGTATTTGCTCCTGCGAATGCGTGAATGGGTGAGCCTACCTGCTGCTTGAGATGAAACCGTGAGGTGTGTCCGACGTGATGTTTTTTTTTATGCAATAAAAATGTGTACATTAATAAATTGAGTCTGGCCAATGTTCCCGAACGCGGGAACATTGCCTTTACATTTCAAGTCGCGCTACAGTACTATAATCACAGATAAATGGGGATTTAAGCGTCTCAGTAACATGTACGTTTTGGCGCCACCTGGTGGCAATGTGGCATAATTCACAACCTACATTTTGTTACCACCTTCTGGTACATTGTGATAGGGACGGCATTTAAGAGTTATGGAGGGAGGCGAGACATGAAGCCAAGTTTTCAGCCCCACCAGTAGGGGTTTGCTCCCTACAAATGAACCTGAGAACTAATTACAGGCACCACTGGCTGATGTAAACCCCATAATCATTCTCTGTATCCTGTGTGGAAGAAATTCTGTTAAAGGTGCATGAAAATATACTGTAACTGGATCATCTTAATGTACCTATTTAAGTAACCTTAATTTATCTTTTCATAGCCAAAGTGGAATCCTTTGGTCCAGCTCAAAGTTCTACTCTGAATGTGTAGTAAGTAGCCTGTGTTCGGTGCTTTCTCCTCATGTGTTGCCAGACATCAGCAACCTCAACTACAAGCAGAACAAAGCACGCTGCCTTTGGTTTTAAAGACTTTATTACCAATGCTCAAACACACGCACATACACGCCCACACACACACACAGAGCTCTATACAGTACATATCTTTTTTTTTCTTCCAATTTCAAACACCCAAGTCCCAGGCCCGTACTTGTCTAAACATCATCTGCAAAAGGCATTGGCTGTTCCTGATTGCAATCAAACATCTTTGCCTTCTCATTGGGCAACGTGCTCTTTTAGTCCTAGCCCATTTCTGACTGGTCAAACAAACTGTAAGTCTAAAGCAATGCCCTGTAAATTGTCCTAAAATCTTGCAAAGAAAAGTATAAATTAAATATAAAAAGGGTGTTACTTTCAGCTGCTCATCTCATTGGTTTAACCATTAACAAATAAAAGAGTAGGCTGATATGAATCACTTGCCCTCTCTGGATTGGTCGCGCCAAAGCATGTGATTCTCGCTACTTTCCCAATAGGTCAGCTAGTGGAAGGCAACCAGAGATGTCAGTATCTGGACCAATAAAACAAATATTTGGTTGTGTGTGTTATGGCACCCTATTCCTTATAGGCCCTGGTCAAAAGTAGTGCACTACATAGTGAATAGGGTGCCATTTCAGACACAACCATTACAAAGCTCAGAAGTAAACAAAGTACAACAGAGTATTTCTGAAATATGCCCCACGAGAAATCGAGTGGTTACTGTGTATCAAAGGACTTAAAAATGCTACATTGCCTTCTTTTATCAAATACATTGGTTCCCATTGGCTGAACCATAATTGTCCAGCTCCTCTCTTTGGCTGAAGACTCAAAACACAGCCTCTGATTGGCTGGTGCAGCCATCAATCTAAATGAGCCGCGTTCAAGTGCTAGTCGGAACTAGGAAACTGACATTTTCGACTTGCTAACTGGTTGAACGCGGCACGTGTTAAACTAAAAGCAGTTAGCAAGTCAAACATTTCCAAGTTCCGACTAGCACGTGAACGCGGCAACAGTTTTTTTTCCTGTTCAGTTACAATTTTTAAATTAACTCAAACCAGAAAAACCCTATCAGCCCATTAAAAAAAATCTTGATCTTATCAACAGCTATATATAAATTCATATAAAATAACATTTTGAAATTAAATAAGTAAAATTAAAAAAAACACTTCTCTCCTTGATTTTCAAGGCCATTGCTCCAAGGTTTGTTTAGAAAAGGCTGCTCCATCCTTAAAGTACAGACCTGACGATTTCGTCACTGGTCAGGTATTTTTATTTTTTTACCATTCCATTGGTCCTTAAGTGAAATCCCTCCCAGGGCACAGGGCCAGGCAAAACGAAATTCACCAATGACGCTACCCGTCTACTACAGTTTAGCATCTCCATTTCTGATTGGTCGTGAGAGAATGGCAGCGAGGTCACTAGCCAATCACAGTGGTCGATAGTGGCCGGAGCATGCCGCGGTCACCTTTAAATGCCACTGATTGGAGGAAATCACCATAAATTCCAAACCATATAATTCTGTACAGAGAATGAATCATTACACATTTATGAATGAATTAATAAATGAACCAATTTTTTTTAAATATGGGCTGTGTTTACACAGGCAGCCCAATTCAGATTTATTTTGCCCAATCAGATCAGATCATTTTACATCAGCTCTTTTCAGAGCTGATCTGATTGGTCAAAAAAAAATCAGAATTGGGCTGCCTGTGTAAAGGCAGCCATGTTGATCTTCCTTGTTTTATCCAATAAAAGGCAAACCCAGTCATAACTGTCAGTCGACCATTCCCAGAGTTCATTCCGCCCAGAAATTGGTGGATTGTCAAAGTGTCCCGCCTCTTCAGGGATATGATAGGCTCCCTGGGCCCATACGCCCACCATGTCATAATGGTGCATTGTGTTCTTGAATGTGATTGGTTAAACAACTTCCTCCCGATTAGTTCTGTAGTTCCTTAACTGGAGGTCTTTGAACGAGAGGGGAAGTCCGGAGTCCATCACGTTTGGAAGAGGAGCAAAAAAAGTCAGTTTTATCACCCAACTTTTAAAACGTCTGTTTATTAAAAGCTTTCCTCTCTCCTGAAGGGTCTTAGAGGCAGAAATATCATCAGTTCCATCTCTGACCCCTCCTTCACCTCCTACCCCTGATGCCATTAGTCGGAGTCGCCGCCCGTCAAACTCAGACTGAAATCTCATAGGTGGTCCCGCCGACGCCCGTCACCTTCTTCACCCCGCCCCCCGGCTTGTGGGCAGGGCTCTGGGTGTTTCCAGGGCTGGGATAAGCCTGTCCGGGGCGAGTGGACATGCTGATTGGGTGAGAGGGGGAGGAAGGGGTGGAGCCTGAGGAGGAAAGGGAGGACCTGGGCTGACCGTTCGTCCGGCTGAACAACTTCATCTGAATCTCGTCCCTGGATAGAGGAAGAGAAAAGAAGAGGAAGATTAGTTAAGAGGTTGGAGAGGAAGAGCGCACACTCATAGGGTGTATCCCAAATGGCACCCTATCCCCAATATAGTGTACTACCTTTCACCAGGGCCCAAAGGGCTATAGGGAATAGGGTGCCATTTTGGAAGCATTCATAATCAAGCGATAGGATATATCCATATCATGCAGGGGTGACCAAGGGCTGGTACATACAGATATCTTCCACTGTAATCCTATAGTCAAACAGAGGGACGTCATGCTGGACAATGGTAACACACAGAGGGCAACAGGATAAAACACATCCACAACTACAGCAATAACACAACCATGATCTATGCAGGACTAAATGCATTTTGAGATAAAATAAAACATTTATCAAATCAAAAACTTTATAGGAAGATTAAAGTCCACAAGTTGCTTTGTCATGACCATAATACATGCTAAAAACAAGGAATTCCTGCATCCCAAATGGCAATCTATTCCCTAAATAGTTTACGCATTTTGACCAGAAACCTATGGGCCCTGGTCAACAGCAGTACACTATATAGGGAACAGCGTACCATTACATAATGTATTGTGATACAGTAACACGTCTAGTAATAACACCATTACATAGTAAAGGGAACAGGGACAGGTGATGGAGACCGTTCGGGACAGAGAAAAACTAAATGGAACAACTACAGACAAATTGTATGTACCAAATGGCACCCTATTCCCTAGAGAGTGCACTACTTTTGACCAGAGCCGTGGTAAAGTAGTGCACTTTATAGGGAATAGGGTGCCATTTGGAACCGACCACACAACAGAAGCAGGGATGAGGAGAAGCACCGACTCTACAGACGAGTGGAAAATAGAGAACGGAAAAAAAGAGAGGAAAAGGAACTCACAGGAGCCTGGGAGGAGGAGGAAGAGAAGGAGGAGGAGAAGGAGGAGAAGAAGGAGGCAGCGGGCTGCAGTCAGTCAGTAAAGAGCAGAGCCGTTACTCACTTAGGTGCCTGGATCCCCCCTCCCCCTCCCGCCCCTCCCCCTCCGACCGAGGCCGATGCCTTGCGCACCATCCGGTACTGCATCTCCGCTGCCGCCGCCGAAGAGTACGACAGAGACTTCCCCAGCGGCGGGGGGTGGGGGGAGCGCGGGGGGTGCGTGGAGGGGGCCAGGGGGGTGTCCGTGGACCGGGTGCGGTAGGGGTAATGGTGGTGGGCGGCCGAGTCGGACAGGAGCGGGGGCCGGGAGAAGCGGGGGTGTCTGGAGCTGTGGCTGCTGTGGTGGTGGTGGTGGTGATGGTGGTGGTGTGGGTGGGGGGGCTGGGGGGCCGCGGAGGAGGGAGGGGGCTGAGAGTGGTGGTGCGATTCCTGGAGGAGTCGCTCCCTCTCGGGGAGAGGCGGGGGGGAGGAGGAGGAGGCGCGGAGATAGTGGGCACGGTGCGGGGAGGAGAGGAGGGCTACCGAGGAGGCGGAGGGCTGGTGGAGCTCTGCGTCTCTCTGCTGGCTGAGCTGGGCCGACAGGTAGGGGGAGGAGTACCCCAGGACAGGGCCCGGGCCGGGCGGGATGGGGGTATGGTGGCGCCCGGGCGACATGTCGGGGGCGGCCGACTCAAAGTCGGGGCTCTCGGAGGGCGTGAGCAGGCTGTCGTACGATAGGCTGCCGTTGCGCGGCGGAGGCGTCTGATTGGCCAGGCTCTTGTAGCTCGTGGAGGTCGTCGCCTCGGAGACGTGGGCCGCGTTGTGGGCAGGGCCAGAACGCACGCTGGAAGAACGGGAAGCCCCTCCCCCTCCGCCGGTAGATAGAACCGTTGGGTCTGAGAAGGAGGGGTAGGAACGTCCCCCTAGGGAGTAACCGGGGATACCGCCACCCCCTGACCCTGGTGCCCCCCCTACTGACCCCCCTCCTCCAGGTCTGTCTCCACCTCCTCCCAATCCTCCTCTCTCCCCTGGGGCCTCTCTCCCATCCAGACTGGGTTCAGAGCGGAAGCCAGGCTGCTGGCTGGACTGGAGCAGAGAGGACGACTCCTTCAGACTGTCCCCTCGACTCATCTGGTGGGGAGGGAGAGAGAGAGAGACAGAGAGACAGAGGGAGACAGAGGGAGAGAGACAGAGGGAGAGAGACAGAGGGAGAGAGACAGAGGGAGAGAGACAGAGGGAGAGAGAGACAGAGGGAGAGAGACAGAGACAGAGGGAGAGAGACAGAGACAGGGAGAGAGACGGAGACAGGGAGAGAAAGAGGTGGAGGGAGAGAGGAGAGGAGGGAGAGATAAAGAGAAAGAAGAGAGCAAGAGGGAGGAGGGAGAGAGGAGAGGAGGGAGAGAAGATAAAGTCATGTTAACTCTATCCTTGTCACTGAATCCCACACTGGAAAGTGGAATGAGAATTGGATGTCCAACTCTACAGACACAGCACTAGGCCACTACCAATAACACCACAGTGGGAAGAACAAGGCGAGACATCGGGAAAGGGAACTACTCTTTCAGACCAGATGCATGGGCTTCACTATTCACTACACACAAGGGGTCTGTGCGGGGAAGAATATATAGCCCTAGAACTTTTAGAATGCCCACATGGCTTCTGTTACATGATGTTATCTTTACAACACATAGGTCAGAAGAGTCCCACACCTTCAATAAAAACATTGAAACACACACACACTGTATATATAGCCAGATGGCTGTGGGATAGAGAGGAGGGGGGCAACATGTGTGCCCAGTGAAACAATAAGCTTGTGTCTCAAATGGCACCCTAGTCTGCATTTAGTGCACTAATTTTGATGAGGGCCCACGGGGCTCTGTATAGGGAATAGGGTGCCATTTGGGACACAGCATAAGAGTTAATGAAATGGATGTTGTTGTGGCCCGGCTAACAGATAACACAATTAGAGTTAATAGAGAAAAAAAAAAACCGATCTTCTTCCCCTGCTCCTGATAGAGCTCTTCTAACACATGGCTTGCATCCCAAATGGCACCCTATTCCCTATATAGTGCACTACTTTTGACCAGAGCCTTATGGGGACCTGGTCAAAAGTATTGCACTTTATAAGGCAGGGATCTTCAACTTTGATAGGGGTGGGGGCCACAAAAGAATCTGAACTCATCACGACAACTCGCAACATTCTAGTAGCCCCCCTCTTGACAGCAGAGAGAACATTTTAATGTTTTAAAGTGAATTTTGTGCACTTCTACACATTTTGCCATGGGGCAGAGAGAAGTTTTTGCTATTTTATAACTAATTTCATGCAATTCTACTCATTTTGCCAAGGGGGGGGGGGTGTTTGCAGTTTTTTTATATGATATCCGGCCGGTAATTCGACCATGATAACATGTTGAGATAGCTGGCTGCTAAACTAATTTAGCAATCTAAAACATGTTTTGCTGACATGGGCTAATTGACTGACTATCAGTGACTGACATAACAAGAGAAAAACTGCTGATGCACAACCACATTTTGAAATGACACATTCTACTATTACTACTAACGTCAAACAGCAGCTGGGCCATTGACAGTCCACTGTGTGATTCCAGAATTGATTTAAGGGAATTATAATCAGATTGTGTGACATATAGGAAACATACCACACATGTAAAATAGGTCAAATAAAAATGAACTAATATGTGAATGAACTACCACAAAATCTTTCTACAACAAGAAATAGCTAGGGGAGAATATTTTCTACAACAGTGTGGGGAAAGCTATAGGCTAAAAGATGACACACAGGGTTGGGTAACTAGATCTAATAACACACACTCAAACTAAAGAAAATAAAGACAAATAGTCCAGCATTCACTTACTGATACTGTTCAACTGAAAGCCACTGAGTAACCAATCAAAAGGCAGGAAAAGAAGCCACAAGTAAAAAACAGAGATGCATTAACAAATCATAACAAATCAAACGATTAAAGACAGGCAGGCAGGCAGCCAGGCAGCCAATGAGATCCCTGATATATAACATATAAAGCTGAGTCAGAGAGAACGACGTGTGTGTTACCGGAGTAGTTTGATATGGATCATACCTCACACAGCATACACTCTCTTTCAGACACAGACTTTCACACAGACACACAGTCACTTTATGCGCGAGCTAGCTGGTTGGCATTAAGACAGTGTGTGTGTGTTACCTGGTTGGCGTAGGCATGGGTGAGGGCAGTGTGGTTCTTTCCTGGACTGCTATAGGTCGGCCTGTACTTATACATGGTGGGTGTGGGCGGGGCTTTGTTCAGAAGACTACTCTCTGTGGAGAGACAGACAGACAGACACAGAGACAGAGAGGGGGAGGGGGAAGAGGTAGAGAGGGAGAGGAAAAGAGCGCAAGAGAGAGCGATTTAAATACATGAACTCAGGTATATAATTGTTTTCATACATAAACTTCATTTTACCAGCTAAGTTGACTGATAACACTGTCATTTACAGCAACAACCTGGGTCGTGTTCATTAGCCACCAAACGGAAGAAAACTAACTGAAACAGGGAGGGACTACCTGAACTTGTCCAACAGGAAACACTTGTTAACCTTTTCCAAAACGTTTTCCTACGGTGTGTAGTAATGAATACAACTCTGGTGAACCGAGTGTGTGAGCTGTGCATGTGTTTCAATGAGAGTGTGTTTTAATAATAATAATAATAATAATAATAATAATAATAATAATAATAATAATAATAATAATAATAATATGCCATTTAGCAGACGCTTTTATCCAAAGCGACTTAGTCATGTGCGCATACATTTTTACGTATGGGTGGTCCCGGGGAACGAACCCACTACCCTGGCGTTACAAAAGCCATGCTCTACCAATTGAGCTACAGAGGACCACATTTTAATGTGTGTGTGTGTGTGTGTGTGTGTGTGTGTGTGTGTGTGTGTACGTACCCTCTGTGTGTTGCCCGTGGTGGCCTCTGGACAGGCCGGGGTACCTGAGCTCTGGTTTGGGTGGAGGAGCGGGCTCCGCATCGCACGACTGACTCTCCATCATCTCCAGACTACTCTTAGACTGAGGGAGGGAAGGAGGGAGGGAGGGAGGGAGGGAGGGAAGTAGACAGAAAATAAATGACATTTAATAGAATAAATGTCAGTCTATACAGCACAGTGCCGTGGCAGAGTGACAACTGGAGTGCAATAACCATTCCCAATGCTGAGAGCAAGAAGGAGTAATGAACATACAGATCGTGAGTGTATGCGTGCATATGCATGAGTGTGTGTGCGTCTGGCACGTGCGTAAACGAGTGTCTGTATGGGTCTTTGTCGCGTCATACCCGGTGGAGGTCTCCGTGGATACCGTTGTCGAGCACCTTGGCGGCCAGCTGGGTGTCAGTGAGCTGTGGCCGGAGGAATGGAGGCTGGACAACCACACTGTGACGCTTCCTCTTCCTCCCCAGGTACCTGATGAAGACAAAATCAAATCATATTATTAAAAGGACAAGGAGGAAGAGGAGGAGAGTGAGAAGAGGGTACCCGATGAAGAGGTACAGGGAGAAAGAGTAGTAAGAGAAGGAATGGATGAGGGAGAGCAAGAAGCACATGAGGAGGATGAAGAGGACCCATAGAGATAGATAGAGGACTCATCTTTGTATCTGTGCCATTATGGTGCCTGTAACAGCACAGGCAGCGCCACTGAGGCTATCTCCATTTAAAAGTAGTCCATTTTCGTATTTTGTGTTTGAAAAAAAGATACAATTGGTTTCCTGAACCAACGCATGTCATTCAGTTATTGTGGCCACTAGATGGCAGTGTTCGAGCTTAAATCCCTTTAACTAAAGGCAACCCAATTTGAAGAAGACAATGCTCTGATCATTGACTGATGGCTCCCAACCCATAGGAAATATCACCCAGTTGACTACTTTAAAAAGGTGGAAGCCCTCAATGGAAATGTCCAGGCTAAAACAGGTTATATCCATCTAGAGTCCTCTATCCATCTCTATGAGAGGACCTAGTCTCGGTCATCAATCAAACCCCTAATAGCATGCAGGGATGACCGCAGCTCAATACACTGTTTGAACTGATAGTGTACATCCTGTTGCATTACTATTAGTATAAATCCATAGACAACAATGAGACAGAGACCTGGGTGCTTGGGAGCTGCAGAGCACGTGAGAAACGTTCTTCCAACAGCCATTAGTGAAAGGGTTCACTCCTCCCCTAAACTTCCCCGTCACCTGTGGGAGAGCGAGAGAGAGAGAGAAAGATGGAGGAAGAGGAGAGAGAGAAAAAGACAGGAGGGAGGGAGCGAAAAAGGAGGAAGAGAGAGAAAAGAGAGAAGATAAAGATATAGAAAGAGAGAAACAAGAAAAGGTAATTCATTTTCCTCAAGGTATCATCCATTCATCAATACAACATATTTCAAGTGTAAACATCAAACATGGAGCGTCAAATAAAAGAGGGGGATAAATAGAGGGGAGGGAGGGATGGGGGGGATGAGGGAGAGGAGGACAGAGGATTATCCTCTCTCCTTGATGAGATTATGACCTGTGCATTTTCATTCAGGGGAGGGATGGAGGGAGACCGGGATGGAGGGAGGGATAGAGGAGTCATATTTTCAAGGATTATCATAGGGCCGTTGTAGAGATGAACTGTTTTGGGCCTTTAAGAACAACGTCAACATAAACGCACACCAACGGTTTAGTTCTCGGACAACAACAAAAGAGGTATGTGACAGAAAAACCCGTCAGATAAGAGGGTGTGATTGTTTAGGATGGGTTGGGCGGAGTGTTGGATCTGACGCAAACAAGGGGTCTACATATCTCCTCAAGGAGAAGAATGGACATGAATAAGTTAACATCGCCTTATCTGTAAGCATTTCATTGCACTGTTTACACCCGTTGTATTCTGTGTACATGACAAATAAACTTTGATTTGATTTAATTTTTATCTCTATCTCAGTTTTCAAGGGGTATGCAGATTTTTTTCTGTGATAAGCATATCTCTCACTATGTACGTGATGACAGCTCATCTTCGCAATTGCAGGGCACATTCTAGTCCAGGGAGCTGCCAGCTTTGGTTCCAGCCTCTTGGCTATTAGGACATTTCTGACAGAGGTAAAAGCACTTTGAAAAGGACAGTTATATCGGTTAGTTGGTGGTTCGTTCCTGGTGTGTTTGTGTGTGTGTGTGTGTGTGTGTTATTCCTGTTCGTTGGTGGTTCATCCCTGGTGTGTGTGTGTGTTGTACCTGTTCATTGGTGGTTCTCCCCCGGGCCACCAGTACCATGTGGAAGCCAGTGAGACCAGCCACTGGGATGAAGAAGAGACCAGCCACACACATCACTGCCATACTGAGACACCAGGGGTTAAGGAGAGAACAGAGAACAGAGACACCAACTAACACACTCATAGTGTGCGTCCCAAATGGCACCCTATTCTTTCATAGTGCACTACTTTTGACCAGGGCACATTTGGGATGCTGCCATAGACTTGAACACTTCCCGAAATGTGTTGAAAATTAAATACTCACATGAACCAACCTATACATCCAACCAACAAAACACACACCCCCAACCCCACCAAAACATCCACACCCTTGGCCTTTAGGACATCCCCCCCCCCCCCTATGTACAGGATACGTGACGGCAGAGTGGACCCTGTCCAGCTGCTGTGTGTGGTAGAGGATGTAGAGCAGTCCGAAGCCAAACACTCCCATGATGTGGACCGTCAGGGACAGCAGGAACAGGAAGAAGTAACGGTAGTTCCTCCGGCCGATACAGTTGTTCACCCACGGGCAGTGGTGGTCAAAGTCCTGGAGGGGGGAGAGAGGGGATGGGGACAGGAGAGATGTGGGAGAGGAGCAAAGGGCGAGTTAGAGCCATTTGTGCAAAGTTAAAAGGGATAGTGCAAGATTTTGTGTTTGTGTATGTTTATGTGAGACACTGACTGTAGATTGCATCTCCACAGTTTGTGTCCAGTACGCGTGTTTCACTTCTACTTGGATAGGACGAGAGTTTTACACAAGAGCGTCCAACTCTTTGTTTCTCGGGCGCCCCACTCCCCCACCCCACAAGGGTGTTCGCCTCTCTGGTCCCATAGGATAGTGGAGGATATTATATTGACCTATAATAGCAAGGGTTGAAGCTCCTGGGGAGGGTCTAAGGCACATGCCCTCAGCAGTTGCAAGGCATCTTAGAGTCGGGTCGTCCAGCTCTGTGCCGGGAGCAACCCTCATGAGGGTCAACAATGCCCCGTTGTAAAACCAAACCATGATTAAGCTGGTTTCAACCAGGTGTGTTCGATTAGGGTGGAGGAAAAAAAAGATGTATCTCCAGAACAGTTGGAAGCCGCTTACTGGATGAGGCATCTTGACTAAAGTGTATGTTATGTAGACACTGGGGGGTGGGTGTGAGGGTCATACTCCACAAGTTGTCAAAGGCATCTTGTGAGCAGGGGCTCCACGGTCCCGAGAGACTCTGAGGTTGAACCAAACCTTCATTGACCTGATTGCTGATCACCACGTGCTTGTAGGTGGAGGGAAAACATCCGGATTTGGTTACTCTCCAGACGGTAGGAGAGCCCAACTGTTAATGATAGGTGATACAGACTACCACCAGCTTATTTATGTAGACAGTGTGTTAATCACTCAACACACACACCGTTGACACCTAAACCAAACACCACTCACCACCTGATATGACTAGCAAGAGACCACATCCTCCTTGTCCTCATCCTCATCCGCTGGAGGAACACACACACACACTGTTAATGCACTAGCAAGAACACACACCCCCTTACTAGATCACCATGAACACACACACACACACGTTACTTGATCACCATGAACACACACCCTTACTAGATCACCATGAACACACACACACGTTAATGCTAGCAAGAACACCACCCCTACTAGATCACCATACACACACACACACACTGTTATGATCAGCAGAACACACACCCTTACTAGATCACCATGAAACACACACCACTGTTAATGCACTAGCAAGAACACACACACCCTTACTAGATCACCATGAACACACACCCTTACTAGATCACCATGAACACACAACACACACACTGTTAATGCACTAGCAAGAACACACACCCCCTTACTAGATCACCATGAACACACACCCTTACTAGATCACCATGAACACACACACACACACACACACACACACTGTTAATGCACTAGCAAGAACACACACCCCCCTTACTAGATCACCATGAACACACACCCTTACTAGATCACACACACCCTTACTAGATCACCATGAACACACACCCACTAGATCACAGAACACACACCTTACTAGATCACCATGAACACACACCCTCAACACATGAACACACACAACACACCCCCTTACTAGATACCATGAACACACACACCACTGTTAATGCATCACAAAACACACCCCCTTACTAGATCACCATGAACACACACCCTTACTAGATCACACACACACCCCCTTACTAGATCACCATGAACACACACCCTTACTAGATCACCATGAACACACACCCTTACTAGATCACCATGAACACACACACACATATACATACTACATAGCATAGGCAGTAGACAGTCATACAGAGTTTGCAGGGAGCATGGGATGGGAGGTAGGTGTTGTTATAAATCTGTGCAACACACACACACACACACCTCTGGGGAAGATGCCCGGGTCCATGAATGTGGCCATGCAGAAGTTGGCCAGGACGAAGAGGAAGATGACACCGTTGTAGATCGGCACGGCAACCGAGAACTGCTCCGTCAGCCATGGACACCTGAAAGAGAGGGAAGGAGAAAGAAGTTAGATCCTTTGTATTTATTCATAACAAGAACCACAGCAAAACCCCGTTGCCTCTTTGAACACCTCAATAAAGGAAGGAATATCACGGCAGTATTGGTGACAGTAAGCTCCATCTATGAATTTGAGAGTGGCTACATTTGTCCAGCCCCACCCTCAGCTTTATAGCAAACCTAGTGGCAGGGCTGACATTCTTTGAGTAGGTGTGTTTGACAGGGAGGGCAGTGGCCGTACAGACGCAAAATTGTCAACAGTATCTGTTTAGGAAGAGCTTGTCTCATTGCCATGGGAACGGGGTGACCCACATATGGAGATCACCTGTTGCATGGACAACGGGCCAAGACCCAGAGAGAGAGCGAGCGAGGTAGTTCATGCTAGGTTTAGCAAAGGCCGCGCTTTTGTCTAGTGAATAAAGCACTTGCTGATTAAACCGAGTTGAGCAAATTCAGAGGGAGACGGATCGCAACAGAGAGAGAGGGGATGAGATGGATATAGAAGGACAGGGACAGAGAGAGAGAGAGAGAAAAGACAGCTCTTTATTAAGGGTGACAGATGCTGGCCTATTTTCCCTCTATTCCAGCATGGTGGTGGTTGTTGTTGTAATATGGAGTAGAGCTATGAACTGACAGGCCACTCCAGACACACCCTGACCTGTCCTGTCTATCCTACTCTGCACTACTAGTACTGTCACACACTCAACTGTGTGTGTGTGTGTGTGTGTATGTGTGAGAGAGAGAGAGAGTAGTGTGTGTGTCTAGGTTTATGAGTGTGTGTCTTTACGTCTGATGTTGCTCTGTTCTGTCCCATTGCCAGGGGTTGACTGACTACATTCCTCAATAACGTTACCGGTCACACACTACAGGCAGGCCCTAGGGGACTGGTGTGTGGGTCGGAATTTATGCGCGTCTGTCTTTCTAGGAAGGCAGAGAATTAATCAAGTGAGGGTGTGTGTGGTGATAACAGTGTTTATGTTAAAGGTGTGGGTGTGTTTGAGGAGACGGTCTTGTGTGTGTGTGAGACTTGTGTAGGATGTGTACACGCTGTGCATTTGAGCATCTGTGTATGACGTGTGTGTATGACGTGTGTGTGTGTGTGACCTGGGGGGGGTTGGTTTGGTTGTACTCACGTGAAGCAGAAGAAGAGTGTGGTGGATCCCACCAGGAAGGCCGTCGCTGCCGACACGGGCACGTAGCGGGACGGGCGAAGTGGCCGGGACGGGGAGGCGGTGTGGGGGGGCGAGGGGAGGCCACCCACACCCCCACTCTTACTGCTGCCCGGCATCACACAGGGGGAGAGGGGAGGGGGGGGACGGTGGAATTACCCCACCCAGGGGGGAGGTGGGGATGAGGGGGTAGGGGGATTTGTTTGGGGTGTGTGGATGGAGGGATGGATTATAGATTAAGAGAAAGGGCGTAGAGAGAGAGGGGGATTGAGGGGGTTAGAGAGGGAAGTAGAGGAGTCCCCTTCTCAATCGGACCAGAACGAGAGAAGACCTCTGCATGTTCACCGGAAAGAGGGGGACAAAAAGAAAGAAAGGGTAGATTCGCCCTCCCTAAACCGTGTGTTCAGAAAACAAAATCTGTCCCTTTGCTTAAAAGTTGTGGGATGTCTATTCAACTTGACCTTTGGCCTTGTCTGAGAGGAGGGGGTAAGACAGAGATAGAGGGGGGTATTTGATTGAGATGGACTCGGACAGCTGCAAGAGGCTTAAAGATCCTCCACTATAATGCCTTTGTAAACGTAAAAGTAGATCAACAGAGCCACTATTTAAAGATGTGTTCTTATAAAATCAAGCCCATGCTGCTCTATGCTTGAATTACTGGCTTATATAGGAGGACAATAACAACAACTTCTGCTCAATTGTGTGTCAATCTCAAGGCTGATACTTTTAAATTGCTTGGTTTTTCTTTAGTCTTTAAATGGTTCCTTAGAGTGGATTTGGGTAAATATAAGGAATAGCAAGAAATGTGCGCGTGCGAGAGGTAAATAACTTAATTGAAGGCTTAGTGATTTTACGATACAACAAGAAAATAGTGCAATAAAAAAGCTGTGATATGGCTTGATTGTTTCGGTGTGGTATATAAAAACCTTGGACCTGTCCCTTTTCAAAAGAAAATAAGAGGTATGTCCTAGTAAAGCATAACGTATATGATTTGGTGAAGCGGTTTTAACTGAAATTCCTTCTTTATTTCTTACAATCTTCCTCTCCTCTAGTCCCTAGACTCATAAATGGTTTTTAAAAAACACTCAACTCTGGGGGTCAAAATGTCAGTTAGGTACAGAGGATGAGGCGGATCGCTTTGGTTGACCTGCTATACATAGCCTGTTCAATGACAGCCCGTATCAATAACTTAATATTTAAAAGAACTCTGGTTCAGTTCAATGACATTCAGACCCAATAACCGTCTCCCATTCCAGACTAAGATGACAGATTGTACCGTCCATCGATTGTTCAGTCTGTAGCCTGTTCAGTCTGTTGACTATTCTGTCTGTGATATAGACCGTCTGAGTATCGATTTGGTTCTGACACAGAGGTTTTAAAAGGGTATGGAGCGATTGAGAGGTAGAGATGGATTGCAAGGTTTTTGATTTGTCGCAGGTAAAGATATAAAAAGATAGCAACTTAATCGTTCATGTTCTGCCTCGATAGAAAGGTAGGCTATCACTGTAGCTGGTCTAGTGTGTAAACAGGTAGTTGATATGCAGAAAGAGGGAAAGAGAAAAACAAAGAGAGAAAGAGGGGGGAGAGAGAGCGAGAGGTATAGCAAAAATGGTCTTTGATTGTGGCCAAGTGGGATTCTTGTCTGTGTATTTTGCTTCCTGGTTGGCTCAATCGTCAGATGAGACAGGAAAAACAAAACAACGTCAAAACGAGAGCTAAAAATCAGCGGAGACGGATATCAGGCAGTCCTATAGTTGCTCTGAAAGTCAGCTAGTTTCCTTATTCAATAAATGGCTGTCCCTTCAGTCCAAACAGAGTCTTAAAAACGCCAATGTGCTCGTAGACGGACGCTCAGACTTTGTTCTTCCTGGTCGGGGCATCCCTGAGCCAATGGGAGACAAGCAGGAAGTCTCAGACGTCGATCCCACCTGCTACAGGTGTGTGTCGAAGAAGACATGTACGCAGGTCAAAATGTGTGTGTGCCTGTAACCTGGAGGTGTCCGTGAGGGTGCACATATCCAAAACACCCTCTTGTAAAATCCACACAAAAAACACCCCTTAAAGATCCTCCAGAAATATGGTAAAAAAAGCAAAAAAAGCAATGTGAAGTTGAACCCAGAGAGGAAAGCCTGAAGATTAGAAGCTGGAATCTGTATTCCCTAGTGGGGTTGATGAGGAGCTCCTCCCCAGTGTCTGTCGAGACCCAAGGCCCAGCTGTGTTGGCTAGCCAAGGAGAGGAGGATGAGGAGGACCGTTAGTTACATAAGCCTCCGTCTCACTGAGCGAGGCAGCCAGCCAGCCATTCCTCCAGGGCCATTCCTGTCCTTCCGTCCCCCAGCGTAGTGCACCGAGGGGGGAGGGGGCACACCCTCCCACCACGACCCCTGGGAACCAGCTCTGGGTCTTGGAGTGCGTGTCTGAGTGACTGTGAGATAATGTTTATGTGACTCACTAGGGCTACTTCTAGAGGACTGTGTGTGATTCTGTGTGTGTGCGTGTGATTGTGTGTGTGTGTGTGTGTGTGTGAGATATTCTGTGTGTGTCTGACTGTGTTAGTGTTAGTGTCTCTATCTATCTGTCTCTACTGTCTGGGTCAGCATCGAATTCTGTTTGTGTCTGTCTCTACGTGTGTGTGTGTGGGTCTCTCCGTCTGTGTGTGTGTGTGTGTGTGTGTGTGTCTGTGTGTAAAGGGGGAGGGTGGCAGTTAGGAGAGCAGAGTGATCATCTGTAATGAAGAGAGTTTAAATCCAACAGGTTTTCCAACAGGCACGGTCTCCCTCTCCACCCCTGCTGTGGTGGCACTGGTGATCCTCTTCTCCTCTCTTTAGTCAGATACGTCTGGCAGGGCCTCTGGATGTCTGGTGGGATACAGCTCCTATAGGGAGGGAGAGGAGAGAACGAGGGAGGGGAGAAGAGGAAAGGGGGAGGGAAAGGGTGAAAGGGAGGAAAAGCGTGGGAGAGATACACATGCTTAGCTCCATCATGAACCCAAGACAATTCTATGTATGGGACTTCATTGTAAACAAACAGCATTCAATGTCGAGCACCAACTAGTCTAGCAGGAATGCTTCGGTTGTTCACCTTGCTTCTGCTGTGTAAGTTATCTGCTGTTGTCACTGTGTGTGTGTGTGTGAGTGAGTCTGTCAACCGTGAGTGTGTCCGCGGGCAATATATTTTTTTTTAGCTCGGCCAGCAATCATTCTGGTTCCTAAAAAACAAATCCATAAAAACAAGGTGTGTGATTCGGTCTGGCAGATATTCCGTTAGCCCACCAGGGATTCATCTGAAAGAGTGTGAGAGCAAAAATAGATAAATAATTAAAAATATCCTGTCTCTCGTCTCGAAACAGTGTATGACAAGGTGTTGCGAGATGACAGTTTTCCTAATTAGCCAACTCAATGAGAGTTGAACCCTATAACCTGGGCCGTATGTGCCATTGAGACACAACCAATGTGAGAGGGTGTGAACCGTGAACGTACGAGTGAGTTTGAGTGAATGTGATTGTGTGTCTAGGACAGCGAAGGACACCACGGTTGACACGAAATGAGAGAACACTCTTTGAGACAGAGGGTACAACCTGAACTTGTAGTTGAACACTAACAAACGCTCATTTTGCCATTTTCCAACATTTCTCGTTTTTATGCCAACACAACACAAGGTAGAAGGCCTGCCTCCTCTGTTGAAAGAGGTTTTCTCCAGAACACAACCCATTGTACGCCACATTTTTACATTTACATTTTAGTCATTTAGCAGACACTCTTATCCAGAGCGACTTACAAGAGCAATTAGGGTTAAGTGCCTTGCTCAAGGGCACAGACTTTTCACCTAGTCGGCTCGGGGATTAGAACCAGCGACCTTTCGGTTACTGGCACAACGCTCTTAACCACTAAGCTACCTGCCGCCATTAGGTGAGAGGACAGGGAGAAGATGCAGCAACCTGTGATTAAGCTCCATTCAAAGACATTCATTTCACTGAACCGCTACAGAGTCCCAAGTCCCTATTAGAGTGCAAACCTCAGCAAGTTATCATCATGATTCATGAGCAGAATTTGCATTTATAGCGGCTTAGTACTTTTTCCTCAATCTCAAAGCACTTCAAATTGTATTTGGTTGAATTATCCATTCCTCAACCAATTAGGTGCTCCCTAACTCCCCTTCGACAGTTGAAGTATTCAACTCAACACCGGTCACTTTATGACATCCTTCCCAGGGTCGTATTCATTAGGCATCAAACAGAAGAAAACAGACTAACAGGGAGGGAGGGACTAACTGAACTAGTCCAATAAAAACATTTCCATTGCACCATGTTTTGAAAAAGGTTTTCTCCAATGTGCCCAATGAATCTATGACCTTTGATTCTCCAAACCGCCTCCCACACTGGTCTGTAATTAGGGTGATGTAGTTCTAAGCAGGCTGACTGATAGGGGACATGCCTATAGATATCAGGCTCAGCTACGCAGACACAGGAAGTGACGGTGACAGTCAGACTGATGACCTGAATCATTCAAACACTAATACACATCCTGTAACATCACCTCCCAGGTTATTCTAAGTCCACGTCCCAAATGGCACCCCATTTCCTTTATAGAGCACTACCGTTGACCAGGGCCCATACTTTTTACCATAGGGCCGTGGTCAAAGGTAGTGTACTATAATGGAACTAGAGTGTAATTTGGGACACAGACCAAGCCTCTTCCGAGCCAGAACAGCGATAGGGCCTAGGCCCACCTCCTGTTTCTGTAGTGTGAGGCAGCTTGAGGTATAAGTTCACCCCCTAGACAGGACGCTAGTCTGTCGCAAGGCCACACCCCCAATCCATCTCCTTGGATAGTAAGCCTAACCGTTCATTTTTGGACTTTGACTATCACCTATGACTGATTCCTCTCTCCCTCTCCTTCTGGAATCTACATCTCCAACATAAGGAGGAGGGCCAGACGGGATAGTAACAATGGAGAAATCGCTGGTATGTCTGTAACATAGAAGCCTCTCCTCTGCTTTGGGCTAAGTTCCAATCGAATGTGTCAAATATATAGACCTCTGCTCTGCTTTGGGCTACGTCCCAATCGTATTCATTAACCTCCTAGTATAGTCACCGCCCTTCCTTCATCATAATGGAGGTAGGTAGGCAGACCAGGAGTGTTTTCGACCAGACCAAGGAAAACCCACGGCGCTTGCTAGTTATAGCCATATAAATAAGGCCCAGAGTTTTTCCTAGACAGTTCACATGGTCGGGAACACCTCTGGCCTTACTGGTAAGAGAGAGAAGACTGGCTTGTATCACTCAGACCAATGGTTATCTGAGTGAGACGGATGCTATCTAGGAGTATTGGGGACACGGCATGATACTGATATAGGCTGTGTCCCAGATGGCATCCTATTCCCTAGAAAGTGCACTACCCTATGGGCCCTGGTCAAAGTAGAGCCCTATGGGCCCTGGTCAAAGTAGAGCCCTATGGGCCCTGGTCAAAAGTAGTGCACTACATAGGGAGCCATTTGGGACGCAAAATAGCTGGTTAGCCTGCAGCAGTAGAATGTTGCCAGGAAAAGGGTATCTCTGCCTAGGCTGTCATAATACTGAGATCTAGAGAGCGATTACACATATATTGGGGGAAATGGGCACACACACAGCGAGACATAGTGAATGTAACATGAGTGCGGATAATTTCCTAATCAGTGGAGTAGGTCTTATTGCCGTGGGGAGAAACAGAAGCACAGACACACAATATGACTCATTGATGTGCTACGCCCTGCCTGCGCTCACCTCATTTCTGGGGTTGTCGAGGAGATATGCAATCAGAACCTTTCATGTATGACCAACAATAAGTATCGGTCCCCTCCCCCTCTACAGTCTAAAGGCATGTAATCATCTGATGAGGACTAGTGGGTACCAGGTACTGAGAGATGATTAGATACTCAAACGTGACCACAGATGGACTGAGATTCTTTTGTATATGTATATATATATATATTGTTTAGAGGGACTGAGATTTTGCCTGTTCTTTAAAAAACATTCTCCCTTCCTGGAAGTAATCACTGGTCTGGAGCGACTACAAAACTGGATAGGGTGAAAGCAATGTAATAGAACCCATCTATCTTCACTTATGCCTTTCTACCGTAATCGTGTTAGACCTGTCATCAACAAACTTCAAGGAAGGAAGGACGCATTTACAAGTATTTTCCTAACCCATCCTGTGTTCAAGTCTCTAGTCTCTCTCTTTGGTGTCCACTGTCCAGGAGAAGTATTGACTTGTGGACCATTGACCTAGCTGTGGAGGACCTCCCACTGACTCAACAAACAAACTAGCTGCTTCATCTGGGAATTTGTCTCAATTAGTATTTCCTTTCTCAAATCCCATTGGAGGGGAGAAGATCCAAGGTACCTCCCCTCAGGCCTTCTCCACCAATGCGTTTTCAGGAGGCGAGGAGAGCGGATTGAGGAAAGAGCCTGGGAGGGACTATCCCATGCTTTGAAGACTGACACAGATGACAGCTGAGAGAGAAATAGAGAGAGAGAAATAGAGAGCTAGCCTATTCTGACACAGTCAGATTCCATGAGGATTAGCTAATGATCATCACTTCCTCTTGCCTTCCTTGTAGGGCATGCTCACCTACATCATCACACTCAGCGGGGAACAATGTAATTGGATGCAACGGTGTGTGTTGTCACCCCGTAAGGGGAAATGTGTATGTGTACAACAGCTGTGTCTCTCTCTTTAGGCTACATGCCCTCATTGCTCAGGGGCATTGAACTACATATCTCTCTGTCTCTCCATTTTCAGCCATCATTCCTTTCCATTTACATGACCCACTCCCCCCCCCCCCCCCCCCCCCCATGGGGATCAATGAAGTACATTCATTCAGATAACACCCTTGGACTGTCACACTACATCTGGTGCTGAAAACAATCTACACAACTAACAAACCAAAGTCCTTACAGTTCCTTCCTGCAATATAATATGCTTATGATCTGAGTAGGGCTGTGACGGTGATGGAATTTTGGATGATGGTAATTGGCCAGCCAAATGACCGCAGTCTCTGTAATAACCGTTATAATAATAATACAATTTAAATGTATATTATTTTTTTCAACACATTTTCCCCTCTCCTCCACTCCTGACTGCATGTGCTGCCATAGGTTATATTTCTGTGTGCTGCTGCGCCTTTCTACATGTGCTCATTTGCTACAACACCTTCCTTGATTCAGTAAGGAGCAACAAAGCTTCATCACGTTGTTAAGAGTCCATGTTACCGCAGAAACGGACAGCCACATGAATGCCCGGCTGTCCCCAGTCAGCTGTTCGCTAAAAAAATATAACTATTTTTTACGGTGAGACCACCCTGCATACACTACCAGTCAAACGTTTTAGAAAACCTACTCATTCAAGTTTTTTTAGTTTTTTAAAAACTATTTTCTACATTGTAGAATAATAGTGAAGATATCAAAACTATGAAATAACACATATGGAATCATGTAGTAACCAAAAAAGTGTTAAACAAATCAAAATATAATTTAGATTTGAGATTATTCAAATAGCCACCCTTTGCCTTGATGACAGCGTTGCACACTCTTGGCATTCTCTCAACCTGCTTCATGAGGTAGTCACCTGGAATGCATGTCAATTAACAGGTGTGCCTTCTTAAAAGTTAATTTGTGGAATTTCTTTCCTTCTTAATGCGTTTGAGCCAATCAGTTGTGTTGTGACAAGGTAGGGGTGGTATACAGCAGATAGTCCTATTTGGTAAAAGACCAAGTCCATATTATGGCTAGAACAGCTCAAATAAGCAAAGAAAAAAACGACAGTCTATCATTACTTTAAGACATGAAGGTCAGTCAATAGGGAACATTTCAAGAACTTTGAAAGTTTCTTGAAGTG